CTAAACCCTGAACCCTAAACCCAGGCCACAGCAAACGACACCAGCAGCAAGTTGGAGGTATCTGGATCCGAAGCCACAGGTCAAAAATATTCGCAAAACCACAAGCAGACCGTAGACCCCAAACCCTAAAGCCCTAAACCTTGTAAACCCTTCAGCCTTAACCAGGGTCCATGCTTTAAGGATTATGGGTTTTTAGGGGCATAGGATTTAGGGCTTAAGGCTTCATTATGCTTAGGGTTGGAGGGTTTAGGGCTTAGGGTTTAAACACAAGCCTCAGAGGGGAAGATTCGGATGCAGCTTAGGCCACATCTTACATCAACTCTCTGTAACGAGACCTTGACTCAAGACCAGAGCTGTCCAAATGCGAACCATCAAAACCTGCCTGCAACCCGAAAGACCTGAACTTCTCGGCTTCCCAGGATTCCTGACGATGAACCCTGTAGTATCCCCTACAAAAAGTCTTTGGGATAAGATAGGTCCCTGGGTCATTTCCTTTCATATTCCTTGGGGCTCCTTACACAAATCTACGACTATGTCAGGAACCCTGCTCTGGGGATAAGTCTTGAAGTCCCTAAAGTTTAACGGTTTAGGGTTTAGGGTTTAGGGTTTAGGGTTTAACTTCTAGCCAACCTTATCGAAAACCTTTGCGAAGCCGTTAGTAACCCTAAACCCTAAACCCTAAACCCTAGAACCCTATTCTATGTACTAAGGTCCCTATTTCCATCCTCTTCCCTGTCCGGACAAGGCTCCCATACCCTTCAGCTCGCGGGCGCCGCAGTAGTACTCCAGCCTTGCTTGGCAGAGAGGCATGCAAAGCTCACTTGGAGGTTCATGGGTAGTTATAAATGGGTTATAAGTAGGGTAACTACACTTAGAACCCATATTAGGGGACTTATAACCCCACTTGTAACTACTCATGAACCTCCATGTAGGATTGAGGGTGTAGAGGAAAGCAGCTTGAACAGAAATTAAGACGTAGGGCTTACGGTTTGGTGATAGAGATGTGAATCCGACAGCCCCGAGAAAAAACCCTATATACTACAGCCTTCTCAAGAAGTTGCCCTAAGGTTCCAAGTACCTAATAGTCATATACTCTCCCAAATCGTAACCTACATAGCTACTATCCGAAACCTGAGTACCTGATTATGGGGTCCTTTGGACCCTTGGGGCTTGCTGCTCGCCCGGAAACTCTCTTTACCCTCCCTGTCCTCTTCTCGCAGGGTCCGCGACTTAGCTGCCGCGACCCAATTGTCCGTGTTGGGATACATAGCAAACTTCCATCTGCAGGGTTCTACAGTAGAAGCCATAAAGCTGGAACAGTGTAACCCTCACCTCCCTAAGCTAGAGTATAAGGGACCCTAGCACTAATCATCCTAAACTCATGTCCCAACTTTCTGGGGTTCCCTGTATAGTAACATCTCAATCATGGCAATACCGCCTTGAATACGTTCAGGGTGTAGGATTTAGGGTTTAGGGTCAGAGTACGCATGAGTCATGAATCTACTAAGCTATTGCTAAACCCTGTGATAGGAGCCGAGTTACCTATGACAGTAGCTGTTCAAACTGGTGATAACCTGAATCCAGTATCTTGCCATTTAGTAACCTGGACTCCTTTAACGCTTCCTTGCCTGAGGGGTTCTGAAACAAGGGAACCCTAATGAAATACTCTAAGGACTGGTGTGTGGGGCTATACTTTACTGTAATTATAACTATATAGGGACTCTAACAAGTTAGTGGAATCAACGGTTTAGGCGGGTTTAGGGCATCACATGTTACTTCGACCCCCTGTGGCGCATGTCACTTTCCAGGATGGCTTACACCTACATGCACCTTGGGCCTAAATCCTGAGCTCAAACACTCAACCCCTAAAGCAGATAAACATGAAAACCCTAAATCCGTAAACCACCCTGCACCTTAAAACCTGAAACCCTGAAGCCCCAAACACTGAAAAACCTGAAACCCTAAACCCTGAAACCCTTAAAACCCTGAAACTCAATACCCTGAAAACCGTGAAACCCCCAAACCCTGAAAACCCGAGCCCTGAGCCCTAAGGGTTTAGGGTTTAGGGGTCCGGAAAACAAAGAAACCCCCAACCCTAACTCCAAAATGGAAGCAGGGTCCCCTGAGAGCAGCCTAGCGACGCCCGGTGCGACAGCATGCCGTAGAGACGGCGCAAGACCTTCCCACCGAGACCCTCAACGGTTTAGCATTTGGGGTATGCGTATGTATGCGTGTATCAAAATATATGTATAGACTAATAGGGAGCACGAAGCAATATGGTATTCTATAGTAGTTATTATCCTATAGTAGTCATTGGACTTCCTTACATTACTTGCAATGAGCGTCTTCGGGCCCAATGCCTCAATATCTGAGTCCTTGCAGCCTCTGCGAGTTACATGAACAGATGCCTAAACCCTAAACCCTGAACCGTATCGGGGCGCGAAACATCCAATCTAGGGGCCTTCAGAATTAGAATTTTAACTTGCTGCCCGAAGGAAGCATGAAAACTTAGGGTTTATGGCCTATAGGGGTTTAGGATTTAGGGTTTCGGGTATTGCCCCCAAATGCCCAACACGTTCAACATCAGACACCTCATCCTCAACCCTTTAAGTGGCTACGCCCTAAATCCAGCTGCATTCCCTACCTGGACCCTAAAGAACCTACCCTTTTAGGCGGGTTTCTTATATATCATGATTTAAACCCTTAAAAAGGTAGGTTATTTGGGGTTAAAGTAAACCCTCGACCCTAATGCATTCCCAATCCCAGCGACAATGTACACCCGAGAACTGCATCCAACTCCTTGAACCTTACTCTGCGATAATGTAGGAGCCTTAATAATTCGAATATAGTTTGGGCTTTTAAACCATATCTATAATAAGAAGCCCCCAAAATACTGTTGGTAAGTATTTAGGCTTCTATATTAATCATGCCTGGAATAGACTTCTATGGTATCACCTCCTAACGACACGCTGAGTTGAAGCCCTCTTTGTGGATCACGTTTCTACGGAAGGGATCCAAAACCAAGACACTACACTCCTCGGTTTAGGTACTGTAAACAGACTATACTGTAGGGGCCTAAACAACTACTAAATCTATTTTGGGGTTGGCTATTACAGCTATCGTATAATGGGCCCCAACCCCATTCTAATTATAAAGGCCCCTATATTACTCCCAAGCAACGGCAGGAGCAGGACTACGCTGAAAGCCTGGAATCTTTGGGGTTCCGTTGTTTGAAAAGATCGCTGTGAGGACAGTGTAGGACAAAGACAATCTGGACTGAGGGTTCACGTCCAGGTATTCTCGGCAAAAGTTAGGACTCAGTGGGGGGGGGCCTGAATCATTAGAATGGGGTTTTGGGGTCCACTATACTATAATTATACTATGGAACCCTTCAAATAGTATTGGTAATTGTTTAGGCCCCTATATTAGGTCGAGACCGCAAACCCTGAGTTTACAAACGCTCGTGCCTTCTGCGTCCAGCGAGTGTGTCTGAAGTCACCTATGTAAGGGCAAGGCTCTTGTTTGCCCACAGGGTCCAGCTTGCTAAGCATCAAACCACAAAAGTGTTCCCTAAGTTAGAACAGTCACCACAAAAGCCTTGCAGATGCCGATCGAACGCTCTGCGAGCTGGTAAGGGAGCATGTAACCGTACCGCATGCAATCATTGCTAGACTAATGCAAAACCGAAACTATCTAGATCGATTTCTTGAACTTTGTGATTTAAATGCAACAGAAATGTCGGTCCGCAGGTTTTTGCCACAGGCTCTGGGCACGCAGGTGGCCTGCAGGAGCTATCTGGGATCTTCACCGGTGCAAAGCCTCTATCTTGGCATCCTTTGAAGAGCATGTTCTGGCTTTCCCCTACACCCTAAACCCTACACCCTAAACCCTAAACCCTAAACCCTAATCCCTAAACCCTACTCCCTAAACTCTAATCCCTAAACCCTAAACCCTAAACCCTAATCCCCAAACCCTAAACCCTAAACCCCAATCCCTCTGAAACCCTAAACCCCAACCCCTAAACTCTGAACCGACCAGGCCCTAAACCGTGGCTCGTTCAGCTAGGCCACCATGCATGGATGCATGCAGCCCTGCATCCAAATGTCGCCACCAGAACCTCAGATTCCGGTTTGGGGATTAGGGTTTAGGGTTTAGGGTTTGCACATGTGCTTAGCCCCCGGAACCCCGAGAAAACACCAAAACAGAGTAAACATTCAGGCTGGAAGGTTCTATCGTTCTATCTCTTTCTGAACAGCAAGTAGGCTATCATGGACTATGCTTTTGTGGCCTGTCGGCCCCGGACAGTATAGCCTAAACCCTTAAACCCCTGAACCCCTAAACCTTAAGGGTTTAAGGGTTAGGGACACCGGTTTGGCCGCTATCGTCTCAGCGGTTAGCTGTCTTCTGGCAGAATAGGTTCAATTCTCTGCATTGGGGCCCCTTGTAAGGCCCTTTTTGGGTTTAAGGTTTAGGGTTTCGGGCTTAGGATATGGGTAGTTCTCTAACTTCGGGCCCCTTTTAGGGTCCTTTTTATAAGGCTGTCGTACTATTTTGGGGACCTTAACAAGGAACCCTAATTTAGAGAACTACCCATAGTCTGCAGCATCTGACCGGGGTAAGGCCAAGAGAGCATGCACAACTTGCCATTCGCTTGCCCCACTAACCCTAAACCCTAAACCCTTCGCCTGCCCCAGTAGTACATCCTCTTTGTCCGACGGACGCTCTCAGGTAGCGACCCAAGGATTTTCCAGGAAAGCGGACTTTAAAATTGATCAAGGTGCAGGGGTTTAGGATTTGAGGTTTGGGGGTAGTGTAGGGGCCTTAATAGTTTGAACAGGGTTTTGGGGTCCTTTATACTATACCTATAGTAAGGAACCGCCAAAATAGTATTGGTAATTATTCAGGCCCCTATAATAAAGTTAGGTTTAGGGGTTGAAGGTTTAGGGTTTTTTGGGGGGTAACCCTAAACCCTAAACCCTAAACCTTAAACCCTAAACCCTAAACCTTAAACTCTAAACCGTGTTACTATCTTGCAGGGCTTAGACAATGCTTTCTAGAGCTGGCTCGTAAGCCGACCCATAGCCGTAGATGAGATAAATCTAGGGTTTGGGGTTTAGGGGTTTAGGGTTTAGGGGTTTAGGGGTTTAGGGGTTTGGGTTTAGGGTTTAGGGTAGGGTTTAGGGTTTAGGGGTTGATGGTTTCAATCCTGCGTTATCCTTAAGGACCCTAAGCTATGGGAATTATGGTCGACTTCTTATTTATGGGTAATGCAGGATTTATATCATCGTAGCAGTGGACACAATCCACCCAATGCCAATGCAGAGGTCGGAATATTTAAAAAAAGTAGTACTAGAATGTAAGGGCCTTAATAATTAGAATAGGGTTTCGTGGCATATTATACTGTAAGTATGGAAAGGAACCAGCAGAATAGTAAAGGTAATTGTTGAGACCCCTATATTATACTCCCAAACTCTATTGCCATTATTACGGCTTCTATACTGCAGTCACTCTGAGGCAGGAACCACGCAAGAGCCACGTCCAAACGCCACCATCCACAACCGTAGCAAAGCCTGGGACGACAGCGGGCTTCGGTTTAGGGTTTACCTTAACCCCAAATAACCTACCTTTTTAAGGACTTATACAAAGAAATCATTATAAGGAGCCGTATAAAAGGGTAGGTTCTTTAGGATCCAGGTAGGGTTTCGGCTTCCGCATGCCGGCTGAATCTGATGTGCTGAGACTTGGGACGTGGCTTGCGGGTCGTGACCTAAAGAGCTTCAGGGGAATAATGCAGAAGCCTTGATAATTAGAATAGGGTTTTGGGGCCCATTATACTATGATCATAATAAGGAACCCCCAAAATAGTGTAAGCAATTTTTCTGGCCCCTAAATTACCGTAAACCCCACACCCCCAAATCCCAAACTCTAAACCACGATCACTGTAGGAAGCCGAAGGCCCTAAACCCTAAACACTCCAAGGGATGCGTAAACATGGTTTCCTACCAAGAGCCCAGAAATACCTTTCCGGACCCGTTCAGCACCCATAATGGTTTAACCTACCTCTGCGAGGGTTACAAATCAGGGTCGCTAAAGGAATGAGCAAAAAGGTTTGAATTTGTTGAAGGCTTGGCGAGGCTTTTGGGCCCAAGCTTGGTGGCTTCTGAAAGACATGGGACCCGAAACGTAGCCCCTAATGTCAGAACCCTAATACGCGAACTCCACAACCTCTAAACCCGAAGCCCGAAACCTCAACCTATCTGACTTCCCTATAGGGGTCCTAGTATATAATTGGGCTTTGAAGGGCTTCCTGTATAGGTACTTGAAGCCTGAGTAAGTGCTAGATCGGTACCTATAAGTCTATAAGTATGTCCAAAAGTGTATATATGCATACATGTGTATATGTATCGTCTAGCTATATACATCAATCAATAAATAAATAAATAAATAAATATATATATATATATATATGTCCATATGTATGTATGCCTGTACTATATAGGTACTTTTGTTTGGGGTACAGGCTCAGCGCACTCAACCCCACGACAGTGAAACCATGAAGCCCTCTAAACCCTAAACCCTAAACTCTAAACCCTAAACCCTGAACCCTAAACCCTAAACCCTAAACCCTAAACCCTAAACCCTAAACCCTAAACCCTACAGGCTGAAGCCCAAAACCCTGCAACCGCAGGGCCCCAGCAAGCCGGAGGCTAGGGTTTTGGGGTTAGGGTTTAGGGTTTAGGGTTTAGGGTTTAGGGTTTAGGGTTTAGGGTTTAGGGTTTAGGCTAAGGGCTTATAGGGCTTATAGGGTTTACAAGGTTCAGGGTTTATAAGGTTTAGGGTTTTTAAGGTTTAGGGGATTTAGGGCTTATAGGGCTTATAGGGTTTATAAGGTTCAGGGTTTA